CTACCAAGATCCCTGATGCTGCTGCTGGTCCACAGGCCACACGCTGAGCTGCAGGACACGCAGAAATCTCAGTCCTTTTGTTGCTGGATGTTCGGTTCTTGTCTTGCACAGGAAAGAATTCAAGAGCGAGCCACAGCAGAGCTGTGTAGATTTATTCAGGGAGATACACACCCCACAGACAGAGGGCGGGGCCGTCTCAGAAGGCCAAAGAGGTGGCCCCAGAATGCAGGGTTGTTAGCTTTAAAGGCTGGGTAAGTTCACAGGCTAACAAGCGGGAGGGTAATTCCAACTGTTTGGGGGGAGGGGTGGGGACTTCTAGGAATTGGGGCCCCGCCCACTTTCTGGCCTTTGATGGTCAGCCTGGGAGCTGTCATGGCTCCTGTGGGTATCCATTTAACAGCTAATGTATTCAAGAGGCTCAAGGTCTACCAGAAGCTGAATGTTCTGCCAGCTTGGGCCTAGCTGGTTCTAACCAGTTTATGTCGAATCCTCGTATCCTGATGTCATTCTGTTAATGGTTGTGCCCTGCCCCCTTCCCTCCTGTCTCACTTTCGTTTGTAGAAAAAAAGGAAAGGAGAGGAATAGAAAGAGAAGATGCGTAAGAGGAAGGCAGAGAAACAGAACAGAAAGCAAAAGATCATGGAGAGAGGAAGAGCGAAAGACAAGGAACAGGCAATTTGGTAACATGGCACTCCCAGCACCCCTCGCTTCTAAGCCTAGCGTAGGGTGACGGGGCCCTGTCCTGATCAGGTCAGCTCTTCCTCTGACCACAGGCCGTGAGATCCCAGGTAGAACCAGGCAAGTCAGAGGGCTTCCCCAGATTTCTGAGCCAGCACAGGGCAACGAATGCCAGAAGCCCGTCCACGGAAGGCCCGGGGCAGGGCTGCCGCTCAGCGACAGTCATGCCACAGAGCCAGCTTCTCACAGTGTGGTCAGATTCCCAAATTACCTGGACAGATGTGAGCTGATTTTCTATCATTTGTACCACTACTGACAGAAGGGAGAAATGTTTTAAATGGAGAGAGAAAGGAGAAATGAGGAGAAAAATGCTTAATGACAGATGAAAGATAAAGTCAGATAAGGAAAGGAGAGAGGAGAAGAAGGAGGAATCATCTAAGGCGAGGAGAGTGAAGCCAAAGTAAAACAGAAGGAAAGACGCCCGGGGGTCACAGAAGGAAAGGTCCCTGTGGTCAAGCAGGGACCCAGTGGTCACTGCGCCAGACAGACCTCGACATGGGACGTCGTCACAGTGAACGCTAGTAACCGTGGTCGCCCGAGAGGAGCAGTGGGGCTCAGCCTGGCTTTCACAGAGTCAGCCCCCTGTTCCCAGACAACAGCAATGAGGAGGGGGGAGAGACGGGGTCGGGGCAGGCAGGTGATGTGAGAAGGATAACTGGCCAAGATCCGAGACAGGCAGGGCCCCAAGAGGACCGAATGGGTACCCAGGAGGGTGGCGGTGGAGAGGCAGGAGCCCCGATGCCCACCTGCAATCCTGCCAGAGCTCCACGCTCCCCCAACACCTCTCCTGCCCCCAAGGATGCTCACAGACCCCAGGCTCAGAGCAAGGTGGTGACTGGAGCCCACACTGGTCCAGAGGCCCCAAGGCGAGCTCAGAGCTCACATGAGCTTGTATGTAAGAATTCCGGTTCGCAAGGGCCGCCTCATGAAATTCTTGAAATGGGTCCAAAAGTCACAGCATATCAATGTAAGTGCTTGCTGGTTCATTCTGAGGGAAAGAGTAGAAAATGAACATTCGTGAAGGCTGCCAGCGATCACTGATCTGTTGCACTGCTCACCTCAGTGCTGTTCTAGGTTCCTCAGCAGGACTCTGGCCAGTTTCTGCTCTAGTTGAGCGAGGCCTTTTCTGTCATTTAAGACGCAATTCTACATTTCCATTTAAATAAAATCCTTTAGGAGTAAGTCTCCCAATTCTGAGTATTTCTTTAATTTATTGGGGTATTTTCAACTCTAAATCCAGTTCAGCCATGGAAATAGTCCCTCATCAAGAAAAAATATTAACGTGAAACATATCACCAGTAAAGAATAGAATTTCTTTTTTTAAAAAAAAAAAAATCAGTTTTGTAACTAACCATCGGTGATTGGCCCCGCAGCACTCAAATTCCTTAGCCAAAGATTTTGTGGCCAGCTGTGTCTCATTTTCAGAAGTTCAAGAATTTAGAGACGTCCACATTGCATTTCACATACTAATTAATATCCCCACAGCAAGGACGTGGCAAAGCATAAAGATGCTTGCCCAGGGTAACCAAAGGGCCTCATGTCTCATTACCAGCTCGTGTGCATTTTCAGTAAGGAGTTAAGATAGACCTTCTCAGAGTTTTTAGAATTTGGAATCATAAATGAAAGGGCGTTGACATGTATTAGTAGACAAAGTTAGCACAGATAGCAGATAGACCCAGATGAATCAGAAAAGTTATCTTAAAAATTAAGATGAGGAGAAGAGCCACAATATTTTTAAGGTCAGAGAAGTAGTGCTTGATTTGGATTTAAAAAAAAAAAATAGAAGTAAAGCCAATTCACAGTCCTCCCTCCCGGGGGTCAAGGTCATGGCAGTGAGGCCACAAGCCAAGGACACTGCTGTGGGGAGGATCCACGTAGTGAGGGTGGGGCAGCAGCCTGACATGGGGACCACCCTTGACACACCGAGTATAAGCAGGCGCTGGGGTACCCTGGCAACATGACTTCATATGACTCTGGAAAGTATCTTCAGATTCAACAAGAAATGTGTATTTGGTAAGAAGGGGTACCAGATGCAGAAAGAAAAAAAAAATCAGAGTTGTATAAATACAGTGAGGTGGGCAGAATGGCCCCAAAGATGCCCAGGTCCTGCCATCTGGAGCCTGTGGATCTGTTACTTTGCAATGCAGAAGGGGCTCTGCAGGCACGATGAAGGTTAGGAAGATGGTCCTGGAGTATCCAGGTGGATCCGGTCTAATCGCATGAGCCCATAAAGTACAGAACGTTCTCCAGCTAGAAGAAGAGGAAATCAGAAGGATCTGAACGTGAAAGGGGCTCACCCTGCAGTTGCCAGAGGAGGGCACACAGAAAGCAGAAGGGATACGGGAAAACCTCAAGGAGCAAACACCGGCCCCCAGCTGGCGGCCCGCCTGGAATCAGTGTCTCAGTCCTACACCCACCAGGAAGTAAGCGGGCGTGCGTGCAGAAGCGCCAGCGTCCAGTCCCGGCTGCCGCCCTCCTGAAGGTCCACCTGCAAGACTGGCCCTTTCCCAAGACCCTAACGCTCAAGGCGGCTCACGGTGCCTAATGTTTGTTCGAACAGTGTGGTTTATACTCAACACCTGCCTTCCTTTCAGGAGTCTGGAATTTTTTAAAACTTTTATCGAAGAGTCATTGATCTACAACATTAATTTCAGCTGTCCAGCAAAGTGATCAGTTCTGCATGTACATGCACATGTATTTTTTCTTTTCAGCTTCTTTTCCATTATATGTTATTAGAATCAGTACAACGTTCATACCTCCTTCTGATCATACACATGGCAACTGAGTGGAAACTGCCAGCCTGCCCTAAAAACATTCATAAATTCCCTGTATTTCCTTTTTTTAACTGGTGTTAGATAACTAACTAGTTCTTCTTGATTTAATTTACATCAACATTTATTGACAAACTAAGAGAAAGCTCCAGAGGTAAAAAAAAAAAAAATTAAGTAGACCACAGTCTATTAAAAGTTATAATAAGTAACAGAGTCCTAAGGAAATGCAAATGAGGGCAAATTGTTACCCAGTGAGTCTTACCATTTAGTTACCGGTTAGCTTTGCTGGCAAGCTGTGTGCTGAGACATAAGAGCTCTTTAGCTGCAACTCTGCCTTTTACTATGACAATTAAGACAAAAATTTTTTTAAGTTACACAATGTTCTTGGCCTCAATTAAATGTTAGATACACTGTACACTTTTTAATTGTGGTAAAATATGCATGGCAAAGTTTAGCACTTCAGCCATTTTTGGGGTAACTTTTAAAATGTTTTTCCCTTAATTTTTCATTTATTATTATTTTCGGAGGCAAGGTAATTATTTATTTTTTTAATGGGGATACTGAAGATTGAACCCAAAACGTTATGCATGCTAGGCAGACCCTCTACCACTGAGCCGTACCCGCCCCCCTTAGCCATTTTTAAGTGTACATTTCTGTAACATTAACATTCACAGTACTGTGCAACCATCACCACATCCATCTCCAGAACTTTTTCATCCTCTCAAACTGAAACTCCATCCCCATTAAACACTAACAGTCCGTTCCTCCCTTCCCCCAGCTCCTGGCAACCATCTAAATTATCTCTCTAATAATAAGGAAAGACGGTAACTTCTTCTCCACCTGACAGATCTTCTCCAGAACACACCCTTCCCTTCGTTGCCCCGTGAGCCAGTTACAAACCCTGCACAGATCTACGCAACACTCTACTTTCAGGGCTGCTCATTCTGAGCAGACTATGATTTAAAGATCTGAAAAGCTACAGATGTAACATATTACATGGATTTTCATATTCAGAAAGTTAAGCAAACAAAACTTAATTCTTCTAAAACAAGCATGGATATGTAATCAGAGGTAGAAACCATGTCACTGGTATAAAACAATTTAAAGCAGTGATGCTTCCAAAGAGTCCTAGAGATCTATTGCACATGAATTACGGGGGGCCCAACTTCCTGTTGGAGCAGGAACTTGGCACATCTCTCAACAAGTCCTCCAGATGGAGACTCTCCTTTACACGTTTTTTTAAATGTTTAAGGTTTTTCAGAACTAGGTTGTATGTGACTTACTCTGTAGACTTGACACTATAAAGGAATGATGGGAAGACATCTTCAATATTTCACATGATAAAACTGTTTTACTTTCCCTTCTTTCATAAATTACACATGGACAGTGTTCTGAAATGTCACATGTGCTTTACACTTATGTGGAAACGTTTTCAAGAAATTTAGGCATATGTCACATCCTAACAGACTGCTTTTCAATAAATGAACCTACCCAGGTGCTTTCTTCTCGCCGATACTGCTTCCAGTTCCTCCCACCATCACTGAACATCAGGAGGTAGCTGGTCACCCAGTCGGAGCTCCCATATCCTCCCTGAGTGGCCACAGCTGTGACCTCCATTCTCTCTCCAAGGTCAATCTGCAGCCACTGGTATTTATTTGACACAAGTGGAGACCAGCCACCGGCTCCTTTTCATGGGAATAGAAACAAGAAAAATGGTAAAGAAAGAGAAATCTTTGCAGTCTACATTAACCTGTAAGAATGGAATCATAAATAAAATTTATAAAAATCATAATTTCCAATTCTGTATCATATAATCTCTCATAATTATACACACACACAAACACGAAATAAAAACACAGGTTAAGTGTAAATGGATGATGCCTGTATTAACTGTTTTGTTTTTTAGCTCGTAACCCTTGACTGTCTGGTGTTTGGGGGTCCCACTACGTGAAAATGCAACAGGTGGACAACTGAACACCATGCCATCACATCAGTGCTTGGAACTAGTGTCTTTATTGGCTTTAATGCATGACTCTCTCTTTGCTGGACATAAATGAAAATATTCAGGTCATGGTAGAACTAGAAAACCTTAATTGTGGATCCACAGCATGAGGAAGTACAGTGCTGAATGCTGAGATAACTAAAAGCATTATGGCATAGCCCTATACTCAAATGGCTTGCAGACTCATAAGAGAAGCAGACATTTCAAAGAATAACTTGAAAGGCAATACGGAAAGAGTGAAGGTGAAGACGATTTCTGTGCAGGGAGGGAGACTTCTGACAGGGCAGTAGGGAGGGTGAGAGAGAACCCAGAGGAAGTGAATGATAAGGGGCTTCTCAGGCATTCAAGACACGTGGTACAAAGTAGAAATTACTGTGCTGTGTTTTCTCCAGTGCCTGTGAGAAACAGAAGAATTAGGGATACCTGAGAAGATATTATTGAATATTTTATTCTTCCAGTTTAATAGAAACATGAGTTTTGAATTTGAATTTAGATGTCATATTGTATTTTCTGAATTTAAATTATTATGCAATATAAAAATTGGGAAAGAAGTTTGAAATACATTCTGGAACTGATATTTTGCCAGCTACTCACATCTGGAAAACTCAATGTCATGTAAACAATCCTCTGTATGAAGAAACTAGCTTTTAAAATATTTTCCCCATTGTTCTGACAGCTAATTTGAGACTCGTAATAAGGTCTGCCACTTTAGACAACATTTATTATCTTTTTAGGAGTTATTACCGACATCCACACCCTCTTAACTAAGGCTGTTAGGACCAAGTACATGTCAGGAGATGTGACATGGTTACAAGATAGCTCAGGGGGAAACGGAAGTGGAGGGGCACTTACATTGGAATGTGGAGATGTTACCGGCAGGTGGGCATGTCTGCTGCTTCATTACATCATCCGTTAACTACGCTACATGTGTAAACTTTGGTAGAATCTAAGCTTACAGATTCTTTAAAACCCACATTCTTTCTAAGATCTCGTCAGTTCCTGCAGCAAATCTTTGTTCAGATATTCCAAATTTTCCTCTCAGTGCATCACAAGCACAATGTCATTTCCTTTGATCCAGAATCTTAAAAATGCTGCAATTTTGGTTGCTCTGTAGTGCACTTTTTACCTTTTCACTTTTTACCTTTTTACTTTGAAGTAATTTCAGATTTACAACAGAGTTGCAGAGACGGCAGAGAGAATGCCTGTCTACTTTTTCACCCAGCGTCTCTTATTGTTTATATCTGACATTTTCATGGTACTTCTATCAAAAATAAGATATTAACACTAGTACAATGCTAACAAAACGACAAACTTCACTTCAATGTCTCCAGTTTTTCCACTAACTCCTTTTCCTGTTCCAGGATCCCACACTGGATTTAGCCACCGTGTCTCCTTAGTGGCCTCCATTATGTGACAGTTTCTCAGTTTTTCTTTGTCTTATTTAACAACAAGATCAGTCATCACCCAGCACCTTCCTGTTCTTCTACTGTTTGTGCAAAGGTCCTGTCGAATGTCTGATGAATGAGAAGTCCTTCTGGGTTCTAGCTGGGAGTTAACTCATGGTCCTAAGTAACATTACTCTGCAACTGTCTGTAATTGTACAATCACTGCCAAAAGAGGTCAAAAATTAGGTGTTGGCATTTAGCTGATCATTTTAACTTAGAGGTGCTACATTTGAAATTTTATATGGATCAGTTTAAATTTCTGAGAAACAGCTAAATGTCCTGTCTTCTGACTCATATTCGTATCAAAGTTCTAAAGATTGTACTGATGGTAACATTTATTTTTACATTTCACAATCTTCCTCTGCCACTTTTAATCTCCCTTGAAGCCAGGAGGGTATCATTAACACGGTTACTGCATGTACAGAAGCACAACAGAGTAGAAAGTGTCAGCGTGGTGTCCTGGGACCAGCCTCTCCTACCCATGCAGCTCCATCTCTGTCAACCAGCCTTTAACATCTGCAGGTGATGGACCTTGAACATTTCACATTCCGTACGTGCGGTGAGGAGGTGCTACTGGTATGCAAATTACACGATTTGATTAAGTAGGTACTCTGATAAGGTAGTGAAACCTCAGAATCCCCTGTGCTACGGGGCAATTCACTTCAGCAGGGTAACAGAGCCACGGGGTGATCCCCAGACCCCTGCGGGGTGATGATGTGAGTGACTGCGCATTCGCTCGGGCACAGGGTCCACTGGGGCGGATGCGTCTTTCTCTAATGACTGGGGAGAGTGGGAAATACACAAACGTAATCTGAGGACTGTTAGGGAGCACGAAGCAGTCCTACTGACCAGGAAGGGAGATCACTGTTCTGTGATGGAAAACACAATGAAACACACTAAAGCAATGTTAGAAGGGGTGCCCCGGAGCGCAGACACCCCACAAGCTGGCAGCGCAGAGCAACGGTTCTGAAACTGATCAGCCCGCATTAAGTGCTGCACATCTTCGGTGAGCTCCACGTGGGAACCAACACCCCCGACGCAGAGCCCGGGATGTGTAATTACTGCTCTGGAGTCAGCAATGCTTAACCCCCAAGAAGGCACTTGCCTCCCCACCTCCATGCTGCCCACACCACAGATGGCCTTTCTCCACTGTCACCTTCTTCTCTCCGACCTCAGCCCCTTAGCAGGATAAAGTGTGACAATTTATACAAAGGAAAACATGTCCAGAGGGTCCAACTTGGACAGAATAAGGTCCCTGAGCTTCCAGCACTGAACGTAAAGCATCCCTCCCACTCATAAGCAAAGTGTGATGGGTACCCTTAGGGCTGCAGTGAGAATTCAGCAAGAAGATGCATTAAGCACCTAGTACTTCCCCTCCCATACACGGTTGGGACCGAATGCAAGTTCGTGGTTCACATGCCTGATGCACAGTGAGGATGAAATGTCAGACTTCGAAACAGAGAAAGATTCATTGCAGGGCTGAGCTAGAAGAACGGGTGGCTCGTGTTCAAAAACAACCCTGAACTCCCGGAATGGTTTCAACAAAGCATTTTTAAAGGGCAGGTGGGGGGAGGGGCGTCCCAGAGACTGTGATCAGCTGTGCCCAATTCTGTGTTTGGTTGATGGTGATCAATCCTTCGGCACCGGAAGGTCTGGGGGCGACGTGCTCATGATCATCAAACAGTTCATTTCTTCCATTCCAGCAAGTGGGACAGACGTCAGAGTCTCTGCTTTGCAGACAAGGGGAAAAACTCATTTTAGGTTCCTGAGGGGACGTTTTATTAAAGCATAGCTCCGTTTTCGTTCTCTACCCCAGGAATATATCCCTGTGGTTGATCAGTTACTCAGCACTGTCTGCTTATCAATAAACAAACTGTCTTCAATACTGATATCTTGGCAGCTATTTTGGAAGACTTCTGTCTGTAGCTGCTCCTGTGTGATCGCTTTTCCGACCTTAGACTGAGTTAGGCACAGGCAGGGACACTGCCTTGGGGAGAGCAAAGGCTGAACAGGATACTCTCAGCTGGGGCTTTAGTTACGCTGGCCACAGATCATGGTGACAATGACCACTGCTTCTGGGGGCCAGCGGGCGTGCACTGCCACAGGGTCAGCTGTGTGCAAAGAGGGACATTATCCAGAAAGTCAGCTCATGCCGTTTTCAAGTTTCAACAAGATCCAGAGCCCAAAGATACCCAAGGGAGCAAAGGCAAGCAGGTTAATTTGAAGCGTCAGACCCACCCGTCTCCGGGGCATCTATATGTCAAGCAAATAAATGGCTACATTGAAATCATCACCAAGGGAAGTTTCCGTCCAAGATCTTTATGACATTGTCTCAAAAGGATCTCATCAAGCTATGTGTGCTCCTTTCCCACTTAAATGAGTTTTAATTCACAGAAGACTCATTACAGATTCCAGGCAGGGCTGGATGAGTGGGGAGATGGCGAGAGAAGCAAGTGTCCACCATTCATTCTCCCTGAAAGGCGACAGGAGCTCCTGGGAAAGAGGGACCAGCGGGCGGGCGGGCGCCATGGATGCTCCCTGACCATGCAGCTCAGAGACCTCTGGGCTTTACAAGCGAACCCCCCGGCCTACATTGCTGAGGGCAATTCAGCATTTGTTCCAGCTATGATTTCTTAAGAATCAATTCCAACAATCTACGTAGACCTCCTCCGGCTATCGGGATATAGGAAATGCAGAAATCCTGCCCCTGCCGAGGTAAGCTCTGATTCTCTTTCTGCCACGCTTCCTGAAATCCGCTAGCATCCTGAGCGGGAGAGAACAGGCAGTTTTCCCAAAAGTGCACCCAGAAGGGGAAAAAAAAATCACACCCAGCTGCTTTTTCAATTGTAAACCAGACTCCTGTACTAAATGCAGACATACCTTATAACGGCTTTGTAAACAGATAATTCAAATTTAAATTAAAAATAAGTGTATGCTGGTTAATTACATGCCAGTAACATGGAGGGAAAAAAAGCACAGTGTGACTGTTCACACGTGACTCCCTGACGTTGTGTGTGCAGTGCTCCGGCATTTAACATTCATCGCTGCAGCTTTTTTTGCATAAAATACACAAAAATCCATGGCTACCGTATAAATCTGCTTTGCTTCCCTCATATACACTCCTGATCAGGTTTTAAAAGAACACACAGCAGAGAGACATTTAGATCTGAGTTGGTCTTGGGCTCTTTCCTTCTTACTTGTTTGAAGTTTTGCATTAACAAGACTGGAAGGCAATTTT